GCCACGCCGTCCCCCGCGCCGCCCGCGCCCCCCTCCAACCAACGCACCGCTGCGTCACCTTTGTCCACGCATGCACATAGCATGCCACTAAACATATGCAAATACATAATTAAATATTTCAATGTGTTTATAGCATTTAATAACAAAATGTGTGTAACATATACACAATCTTATTAACTCGTTGTCATTATAGACATAATTATAGAACAATAGGTTGCGGTCACCGGTGATCGCTTGGTGTTTGACAGTTTAATTTAGGGGAGCAAGCAAGTGCAAGAAGATAAAAAGAACAACATGACATCACCCCTTTTATCCCCAAAAGAGTAGGCAGAGGTGCACATTATGCCACTGTACAATGTAACACCCACTTTTCACTATTTATGTTATGGGTTTCATGTAATAGGGAGTGAACCTATTGCCATATACCGGGCACAATTCCAGACTTCATGCACCTACTAAGATTTTTTTTAAAACCCGGTAATACTTTACCCGACCTGGGAATCGACGAGACCCCTTGCCCGGCAGTCTACGGCACTTACGACCACTCGGCCAACGAGGCAAGATAAAAAGAACTCACCATAATATAGATAAGTCTTCAATATGCGATGCATCTTCTAAGGCCCAAACCATTGCCACATCACTAAGCCTCGTATAGACACGAATTGCTATGAAGAAAACAACAAATAAAAATACGTCTTTAACTAACCTTGTTAATACAGATTAAAATCATAACAAAATCTCACCAAACTCAACATTAAGGTCAGCTATAGCGGCTTCTCCCATCTTCCTCCATAGTTCCACTTCATCCACAGCATCGCAGAACAGCCAGGCTTCACTGAACCGCCTCAGCAGTAACAACTTCTCTATATGTCGGCGCTGGTTGGCTAGACGTTTCTCTGTGTCCGCGTCTGCTAGGCCACCCGTATTGTGAGAGTCTAACGCCATTTTTAATACCCTGGGGAATTTTAACTTTATATTTAAAAGATTTATATCATTTTTTTTAAAGATTTATATTTTCTTTATATCATTTTTTTGAACCTGTGCTAAAAGTAAGTATTTAAGGATGTACATAGAATAATAATCATAGTTACTTGCAATATAATTTAACAGATATCACCATTACCACATGTATCTCCATCACCAAAACTAGGATTATTTTCAGAATCTTTAAATATGTGGTGTCAAAAAATCGAATACTGTATCTAAAGATTTCATTTCCTCCAAAGGAGTATGTAGAGGTTCACATTTTTTTATGTTTTATATGCTCAGCTCCTATTAGTATAGTATTTTTTAAAGGGGGGAAAATCATCAAATGACTGCTCCCGTCTGGGTGAGGCGGGAGGGAGTGTCAGACTCTTACTGACTAAAAACCACCCCGTTCCTTCTCCTGCACGTCGAGTCGGAGCCCCGGTTACCCGTTAGGTTCTCCGCGACATTAGTATAGTATAGGAGCTAAGTATCTGAGTATATCAAAAACCACACGCAACATTAAAAACAAAAACTAAGTACTTACGATCCAGCATTAGCATAGCAATAAACATCTCCAGAGAACAGAATAAGCGGTATTTGTCCAGCCATAAGTGGTGTAGTCCCCACCAAGTCCACGTGAGAGCCGTTGATGGAGTTAGCCGCGTAGTAATACGTCTCTATAGCCTCGTCCGTGTATATTATGAACACGTTGCGGTCTGAGAGGCAAATGTCCCAGATTATGCCCCTGGAAAAAAATCATATATTATTTTTGAATTGTATTCAGTTTATTATTAAACTGAATATGCAATTAAAAACAGTTGTCTTATGGAGGACATTGTTGGGGCAGAGGGCTATCATAGAAGTCCTCCATCGTGACCGTTCTTAGTATGAGTCTGGTCTTTAAGATAGAACGTCGGAAGTAAAAAATTAATTTAAATTGATAAATTAAATTAAGAAAATACATTTATTCAGGATCATCACTATCATAAGTCTATCAAAGGCAGCAGAAACTAAACGTTTTGTACTGTCCAATACTTTTAACTTTATAACAAAACAATAAGGTTGAAAGTCGTGTGGTAAGATGTCCTGTTTGGTCGTTTGCCGCAAATTTTATACACATCGATTAAAAAAATATGAATTTGTGTAGTTTAACACAAGTAGGCACATACCTGACGTCAGTAGCAGCATTCCTAGTAACAGCAGCGACATGGTCCGCCGCGGGGCAGTACACGGCGAGGCGGCGTCGCTCGTCGACCAGCGCTGCGCGGGCGCCGCCGATGTCGCAGTGCAGGCGGCGCAACCCACACGCGTGACGGTGCCGGGCACTACTACGCCATTCCTCCACGCCGAAGTATTCGACGTGACCTTGCTGTGTACATAGTATAATAATTCAGTAATACATAATCATAGTCTAAGGAGGTTTCCCCACTAGACTCGGCCCATTACATTATATACCACACATTTGAATGTAACCAGAGAAGGAGCGTAACCAGTTTCTCCCAGCAGTTGGAACTAAACTCTAGTTTAGAGGAATCTAAAGTTTATTAGAAGTTGGCATTAGCACAGCTTGAGGTGCACCAACAACAACTATGATAGAGCAAAGATTTTATAGTCTAATTCTACATTTCTCTCTTAGCTATCTGAAATAACTGTCATTGAAATTAATATTGAAATTATTTATTACTTACATCCGTGACGAATATGAAGAAATCAGTAGTGAGGTGTATGTCAACGATCTTGGCGCCCTGCATATGGGGCTCGGGAAACAACATGGCTTCTTTCTCTGGCTGCGCTGGGTCTATTTGATCGATCTAATGAAAGAAAACAAAATAAAAACCACAGTTTGGGTCTTGTTAGTCAAAGAACATACTCTTTGGTGGATATCAACAGCAGAGAATGTCATAAGTTTAGGACACATTGTTGGTGAAAGAGTTAGAATTTGATCATGCGCTTACGCATATGCAGGTCCTAGTCTTCTTCGTGTTATTTGTTTTTGAAAATTATCCAGTTACTCAAAATTTTATATAAATAAATGTGAATATGAGTGTTTGATTTTGCACTCACGAGATAGCGTTACTGCACCGACTAACAAAGTAAAGACTAGCAAATAATTAATTGGTAGCACCTATAATGGTGCGAATACCTACATTGTATTGGTCAAACGTCGACCTATAAAGTAGGTATAAAAAAAAACCTAACAACACTCTATTTATATTTTTTCATTGTAACTCACCACATGCAACATAGCTCGTCCTTGAAACAATGCAGCAGCATATTCTCCAGCTAAGGTGATCATCTCGATAGGTGCTGGATACTGTCTCCTGGCCGCGGCTCCACCAGTGAGTGGGTAGAACCACGCTAGAGTACCACTGGCACAACATACGTGGGACCCACCCAAGGCAATGACACTTGGTTCTGTTGGTAGTGTATATGTTGCTAGGGGTGTCGGTTCCGCTGTGGATTTTGAGATGAAATTTTTGTTTACTGTGTTTAAAGATAACAGTAATAATAATAAAATAAATATTTTCATGAAAATTTTAACATGGTTTTTACTAAAATGGAACACTTCAGTGACCACAATAAAAACATTTAACAATCAGCTTCCTTTTCATAGCATAGTTTGTTTGTCTTCATAGATCGTAGAGATCTTTAATAAGGACAAGCATTCTAGTAGTAAATTGAATAATTAACAACACTTACATTTATTCACAGGTTCCGGTTCATCACCAACAGCAATACATTGATACACCGTTGCCTCAGTAAGACTAGTCAATGTAATGACTCTGGTGCCATAGGCCGCGTGTAATGGCGGTAAAGCTGTCACGTATACATTCAGATACGCTCGACCAGCCGTCGCAAGCAGACGTCCGTCGGAACTCCAAGCACAACGCTCCGCTCCACCGGCTGGCATAACTGATCCTGATACCTCGCCGTTATTCCATATTGCTATTAGTTTTAGTCTGGAAATACAAATATTAAAATTTTATACAAAATATTATAAATAAATAAATGGTTTTTTTTGTTGTGTAACCTGTTACCGCAACATTACCAAAGTTCCAACTTTAAATTATAGTAATTGTTAGTGTTGACTATCCAGTGCTCACTGTACCCAACTAATGCTGAGATGATAACATAACATAAAGCCTTTTATCCTCGAAGGGGTAGGCAGAGGTGCACATTACGGCACTTAATGCCACTATACAATG